TTTTGTTATCACTATGGCCATTTGACTTAGCAGTGTCCAGTGTTTCCTATACATTGAGTTATTTGTGTTTATCAAAACTGACCGCCACAAATAGATTTTCCAAAAGGCTTATACTTCGTTGAATAAAATGAGCACTTCACGTTTCAAAATTAAAATGCAGCACAGGTGTTTTTATATGAATGTATCTTTGAAAAGAGCCTACTGTCTTCAGTAAAGCTTTGATGTCATTTTCATTTAGTTTTTCCTGTAATGCCTGATAGCGTTTGTGAGCAGTGCTTATTTGATTATAGCCTTTACAGGGGAAACCGCTATATCTCCAGCTCCCAAAGCGCCTCCTGCTGGCAGAGAATTAATTTGCAGTCTGTGGGAAACACTGGTGTCTGTCAGCAAACATAAACAAAAAGCATCCTTCAGAACTATTTTGAGAAGGTGCTTAAGTTTTGAGCCATGGATTATTACTCTAAATTGGGCTACTACTACCATTACTGTCTTGTACCCTGCAATAATCATTTGTTCAAACTCACTTTTATGAGATGAATGGGAAAACATATCGGCCAAAAAAATCTGCATCATATATCGGCCATCGGCTGCCCTGATTTCTAAATATCGGCATCGGCCAGTGAAAAAACCATATCGGTCGACCTCTAATAAAAAGTGCTCTATAATACTAGGGATGTAACGATGAGCCGCGTTCCGGTTGAAAATCGGTTTAAATATGTGATGATTCAAATCGGTTGAGATGCTAAACAAATCGCGATACAATTGGAGTAAGAGTTTATATGAATGTATCTCTGAGGGGAACTGACCATCTTTAGAAAAGTTTACGTGGTATTTTCTTTTAATCTTGCTCCTGAACAATGCATATTAGAGTTCATAAGCGCAGCTCTGCTTTGTTTACAGCAGTAAACACTGCATCATTGCTGTTCATAAGTGCCACCTGCTGGCAGAGAGTGAATCTGCGTCTCATTCAGCTCATCTGTGGTTTCCTTCAGATATGTTTGATGTAGTATAGTTTCACAAAACTAAAGTCAGACCAATCTGTTTTTGCTTCAAATTTCGAAATAATACAGTCTAAGGGTGTTTTCAGACCTGTAGATCGTTTGCTTTGTTCCGAAACAGGGACTTAATTTGTTACAATATTGCATTTTCTTCTTGGTTCAGTTCGCGTTCACAAGGCAACATTGCAAAGCGCACCAAACTGTGTTTGTGCAGGTCACATGTGAGTAAATCTGCCCTCTTATTGGTCAGAGTTCAACTGTTTACGTTCCTCTGTGTCATTCATCAAGATGGATTGACAAGTTCGCTCCACGGGCTTATTGCGGCTTTATAGCTACGAATGTAACCGTTACTCCCGCTCCCAGTAACCGTGTCAACTAGGGTTGTGACGGTGAGGAAATTTTCCCACCGGTTAATCGGCGTGTGACAACACCGGTAATACCGGTATCACCGTGGGGGCGGGGCGTTCCCTCTTTTCCGCGCTTTCCTTCGCTTTTAAATAGCTTGTAAAAGCGACGTGCCCATTTTACTTTCACTTTAAAATAGCGGCAATTCGGAGTAAAGCAATTGTTCGTTTTTAGTTCGTTTGAATTTTCCCTCTTTTCCTCGCTTTCCTTC